TTTAGTGTTTTGATTAATACAGTATTTTTGCTATATATAACTATGGGGGGAAGAAAACCCAGACTGTGAAATTCACAGACTGAAAGATCATTTCTAAGTAACACTTACCCTAACTACCATAAAACCAGCTCAGACGAGTCCACACAGTGCTCACATTTCTATCCTTCACTTCCTGCCGCTGCAACGTTCAAAACTTCATACCAAACACAAACCTACTGTCCTTTTTCTTCCAATATTTCATCATTACAGCTCCAATAATCACTAACCTTACTACTGCTTACAAACAGGAGCATGAAACTTATTTCCCCAAACCATACATAAGCCAAAGATTCAAAACTTTCACCTCAGACACATCATTCTTCATGCAAGTGATATTTCCCAGGACTAACAGCAAGAAATGGCAAAACAGCTCCCAGGTCAAATCTCCACATAACATCACCCACAAAACTTCTTGCTACCAGCTCAGCAGCGCTGTGTATCCACTGCTTCCTGAAAACCTGTGTAGTTCAGGGCTATTAATTCTAAATTACCTACCTGCTACAGTTCAAGCCTTCTAACATCTGACAAAGACTCCATGCCACTCAGAAAATCTCATAGTTTGTATTTATTTGTAAATAGGATGCGGCCACAGTCACCACTCAAACTTTATAGTTACGAAATGGAATCTCTCAGAGTAGCAAAATTACCTTTAAGGAGAAAAAGATTGAAATCTATCATTTCTTATCTGGCTTTCCTGTAATAAGCCTGTAATTTGGTATTATGGAGGACTCAGAAAAGACTGGATAAATAACCAGTCTATTTCTAATTAACAACAATGAATGAATTTGCATATAAAATTATGGAGGAATATTTGGGTATTCCGTTATAGCCCCATTAAGTATCCTTTAACTTCAACTGGCAGTGCAATAGAAATGCAACAGAAAAACAGATTCTCCCCCATGGGTAATTACAATCTCCCTTGCTTCAATTCCTAATCCCTTGTTTTCCTACAGTAATATTCACTTTTCTGTGTTTCTCAGACATGAGGGATTACTTCTGTTGGAAGCCCCATGTTGTAAACATTCATGTGAGGAGAAAAGCTCAGTAAGCAAGACTGTTTTGGAATAAGGAACCTGAGTCACATATCAGTGCCACCATAATGAAATCCCCAGAAGCTGGCCTGCTCCTGTGGAGCAGCCTCTGACCTTGCAGACTCCAAATTTCCTTGTCTATGAAGTTTAGTTATTTTTGCCCACCCCAAAACATCTGGGGAAAACAAATGTTTATTTTCCCAATCGGTATCTCTAGAAGACCAAGAGAAGACGAAGAATTCCTTCAGATTTCTTTTTAATTTCATACCAGTGCTGTGTGGAAACTTTTGAAAAACCAGCCTCTTTTACAACATTCTCTCTTCCTTGTTGAAAAAGAATGGCAACCACAGAAGTTTACACTAAGGGGAGGAAGAAACACAACACATAAAGTACCATGTCCCTAAATATATGTCATTGATATATATAAACACAAGTGCTGCCTTGCTGCCAAAGGCCACGGAAGAGATAGCAAGACAAACAAGAATGAAAAAGGAAGGTCTTGTTTGTTCTGAAAATCTAACTCACAATCCTTCCATTTATGGTGGAAAAATATATGTACCTTATAGTGAAAATGAGATTTTGCCACAGCATCTCAGCAAAAGAAGTGAGAAAGGACTCAGCAGCTGCAATATGAGCAGGAGAGAGGGTTGGGATTACAAAATTTGGAATTTTCCCCGCCATGATGAGCCACTGGCAGCGTTGCACAGAGAGGAACACTGGGGATCTGCTACCTTCCAGGAAGAAAGCTTCAGCAATGCCAGGAGAAACGTCAGGACAGGACTGAGGCTCGCTGGGATTCTTGGCCTGCTGATCCCCCAGGCAGGGGAATTCCAGCTGTCCAAGCACTCCATCCCTGAGCCTGAGCAGTGGCACCCCACCCTCCCTTCTCCTGCTCCAAGCCAGCTCCCACAGCTTTCCCCAGTTACTCAGGCTGTACACAGGGGATGGATTTAAATTAATACCAAAGACTTTTTTAATTTAGATTTCACTTCTGCTACCAGACCTGTGAGGTCCCACTGACCTCAGGAGGGGACGCCAGTGAGGTGAGAGATTCAAGGGCTTTAATAACCTGAATTGCTCCAGCAATTGTTTCTGCCACTACTAAAATGAAAACACCAAGAATAATGTTCAGTAGCAAATATAAGATGGTAGTAAATAACAAATAAAAATAAAAACATACCAATACACTGAAAGTCAGAAAGGATATGCAGCTATAAATGCAAAGGGGATTTTACTAAAAAAAAATAATTGCCAACAATGGAGAAAATATTTCATCAGACTATGAAATTAATATTATTGCCCAGCTCCTACACAGGCTCTTTCATCCACAGGCGTCAGGACTCCTTACAAGTCAGTAAGATTCACTATCCCTAATTTAAATTCCTCCAAAAGGAGGCACAAACAGGTGAACTGATTTGCATCAGGCTCTCCACATCCCTCAAGCACTAGACCTGTACCTTACCCACCCAGGAATATCCCCTCTTCAAGCTTTCCAGACACTGTGACTTACATCTTTTGAGATGAGAATTTCTCTATGAATCCAGGTTTTGAGCAGAAGTTCTGTCCAAACCACAGCCCTTCTACAGCCAGATATACTCACACTGATCCCAAAGCCCAGGAGGAACTTCTCTGAAACCAGTGAGATTTCACAAAGGAAAAGGATCTTCCATGACACATCAAGAAGCAGAACTGGGACAAATTAGAGAATAAGATGCTGCTTCCACATTTCCCTTTAAGTTTTAGTCTGATGGGAAGAGGTAAAAACAAGCCCCCAAACAAGCAAACAAAAAAATCCCAAAATAGACAAAAAACCCCCAACAAAATCCACTATTACAACCTTTCAAGTCTTTAAGCCATGACTTTAACAAGCCTCTACCACAGAAAAATTAATCTGGCTCACCTAAAAAAGCACAGTGCCTGCAAGAATTAAAAGAGGGAAAATACACACAATACAATTCTTAAGTCCAAAAAAATCACAGAGGTGAAGAGTGATAAAGGAAATGTCATTTCAGCTAGGAAAAATAAAGAAGTAATTTCTGCTTTCAGAACAAATTACAAAGAGAACTCAATTTATCAGTAATAACACATAAAATGTTCCTTCACTTACCAATAAAGAAAAACTGCTCTGCTAATTAAAGTTCAACAAAAAAAAGCTTAACTCAGCTTCTGCCACTTACAGTTTCAGTGCTGTAAAAGCCAAACCTACCAAAGTCTGATTTACTGGGTTTGCACCCCAAGGAGGTGAAGGGAATGTGGTGGCCCCTTGTAAACTTTCCCCTCTTCGAAGTTTGAACTGAATGTTCAAAATCAGCTCCTCCCTACAGACCTGACCAGCACACCCAGTTTGTCCCCATCACAAAAGCTTTGCCACTTAAAAAAAAAAAAAAAAAAAAAAAAAAGTTTTAATTTACAATCTGCTATGGTTCAAAAGTACTGAATCAACCCAATTTAACACACATTATTTTAAAGCCACCCTGATCTACCTCTCAGTCTTGGAAAATAATGCAAACTTGCCAAGTATCACTAGCATAATTATTTATTTTCTATAAAGGAACATGCCTTTTCTTATATAAAGAATGACAGGTGGTGTATTTTATCCTTTGCCTTGCCTCAATTACACTAATTATTAAGAACAACATCATCAGATGATGTCAACAATTCAAACCATCCCAACAGGACCAGCCATGGTGATACACTCAATCTGTCAATAGGGATATCCATTTTCAGGGTATTTTTCTGTCTCACAACTGAATTATTTTGTTTTTACAATGAAAATTGAAATGTGTTATTTTAAAACTTCCTCTCAAGCTCGCTGTACCTTTGATAATGCAAAAATTCTATTACCTTGTTAACTCTTACTCATTTTGTCATTAACTGGGAAGCATCCCTGCAACTGTTTCCCCGCAGTTATTTCTTAATTTCCATCAATGATATGCTTAATCATGTTACCCTAATCAAACAACAATTGCCTAACAAAGCGCTGAAGCCAAAACAACTGCACTCCCTTTGAAACTAACAAAAGGACAAGTACCACCGCAGGAAGGGTAACACAGATCCTTCTCCTGACTGGAGATGTGCCCTAAAAATACATATATAAGTGTCTGCTGGAAGGGCTGTGTTGCAATGTGCAGTAGAAACTCTCCTGTTTTCAGTTTCAGAGCTGATCCAGGGTATAAAAGCTTCTCTCAAGACCTGTGTTAAACCTCCCAACTTCACTTCACTCTCCCTGCCAAAGCCTCCTGCAGAAAACAAAAACATAAGCTCATCTGCCCACCCTTCAACCGCTCCGAGGGGGTAATTTTACAACAGCTGTTAAATTCTTCCAATTTATTTTTCCACCGCTCCACAAACCCTACCTACCCCATTTTTTTTTTTTTTTCCACTCCAATTTCAGCATTGTTATTTTCTGGCCGTCTCTCCCATCCCCTCCCGCCCCGCCCGGTACAAAAACAAAGCTGCCTCCCGCCCCCCTGCATCCCCCCCGGAGCACCCCCGGCTGGTGCGAGGCACCCCCGGCTCTGCGGCCCGGCCTCCGGGCCCGGCCGGGCGCGGGGCCGCTGCGGCCGCCCGCGGCCCCGGGGAGCGCGGCGGCGCCGGGGTCCGGCCGAGCGCCCCGCAAACAGCCCGCGAGCGGCGGCCGCCGCAGGCCCTCCGCGGACACAGGGCCCGCTCCCGCCGGCACCGCGCGGCCCCCGCGCCCCGCACCGCCCGCCCCGCCGGCCGCGGGGCCCCGCGGCTGCTCCGAGGGTGCGGCGGGGCCGCGGGCGGCCGGAGCGGGCCGCGCTCGGTGCCCGCGGGGGCGGTCGGGGAAGTCCCGACTTACCTGTCATTACTTTCTACGCCATCTTGGATCCACTTGTCAACGTCCCACAAAGCATTGTGGGAAAGGCCGGCCCTCCCCGCGGCCCGGAAGGCGGAGGGCGGCGGTGCGAGGGGACGGGACGGGAGCGGTGTGGGGACTGGGACGGCAAAGGGGCCCGGGTGGAGACCGCACGGAACGGCCATGGGGACAGGGTCGCGGTCCGGCACAGGGGATGAGGATGAGGACCGGGACCCGCTGTCCCCTCAGCCCGGCGGCCGCTGAGGCGCAGCCTGGGGTCCCCTCACGGAACAGCATTCGGGGCCACCTCTGCTCCGCCCACGCTAGAAACGGGCAGTTTCGGGGTGTTTTCCGTGTTTACTTTATTTTTTCTCTCTGTTTTTCCCCTTCCCTTCCCTGGGCTCGGAGCGCAGCTGGCGGGGCCGGTACCGGCAGCCGGGGGGGCCGGCCAGAGCCGAGCACGGAGCCCACCCCTGAAAAAAGCCTGGAAAGTACTTCTTCTCATGGTTTTTCTACTGCGTAAGTTGGATTTTTTTTTTTTTTTTTTTTTTTGGTCGGTTTGGTTTGGGGTTTTTTATTATTATTTTCCTGTGGCTTTTTAAAGTTCCTTCCCTCAAAGAAACGTGAGGGAGGCCGGTGCGGGTGCCGAGGCTGCCGCAGGTGCCGGAGCAGCTCCCGCTGTCACCGTGTTTTCCAAACCCATCAGCCCTGCTGAAGGACTCCTGGTAAACGCGTTGCTGGCTGCTCATGAATCCCAGAAACTGCTTTGCATAACAGTTTTATTTTCATGGAGTAATCTTCCCTGTTAGCTGTGTTTTCAGACTCTTTGGCAATCAGTACTTAATACCTACGCTGTTTTGCAAACTGGCTTTTTCAAGGCGTTACCGACTTAGCTGCTGTGGATGGGTGCCCTGTACTCTGCATAGGCTGTTGTGCTTTAGGGCAAAGTGGACAAGAAATTGGGGAAAAGCAGCTTCAGGATCTTAGGAAAGTTTATCACCAATACAGTATTTCAGTGGTTTTTAAAAACTTTTCCTTCCCCTTTAATTGAAAAAAGATCCAGATCATTTTAGTATCGGATCTTGCTGTAAAATGTATTTACATTTATATTTAAATTTACGTAACTCTTTGAAGAATAACCACCAGCCAAGCCTCTGATACATTGCCACTGCAAGAAAAAACTTGTGCCCGAGAAAGTTTTCAATATTCATCAGTAATGCATTTATAAAAGAGAGCTCCTTGCAACAATGTAAATATAGGAGGAAATAAATCTAAATAAATCCTTTGCATTTGCCACCCAGTCTTAAAACAGTCTACTTTTTAATTCAGCTTCATAACTAGCTGGGAGTGCAGTTGTGCTGTCACTGAGGAGAGTGTGGGTGGTCCCAGCCTCAACCCAGGAGATGCCATTTCAGGATAAAACCCTCCTGTGGAACTTGCCATAGGCCATCTCTGCTGTCCCTGCTGCCAGCCTGACACCTTTCCTAGTGCTGGGACTTGTATTTTCCATGAGCACTGTGCAAGGAACAGGGATCAAAGAAAGCTGAAACCATGTTTTAGGATCCAACTCACTTGGTGTCATTCAGTCCAGGTTGTTGAAATGGAGTAAGTCCTTTTACTTTTGAGGCCAGTTTTCTTTGGTTCCTAGTGAGCTTTATCTTACTGGTCTTTTTTTTTTCTGTTAGAAAATAGAAAACTTTTCTTCAAAATAAATAATTAGAAAAAGCAGTGGAAGATAGAATTATCAATGTATGCATATTTTTAGATATAAACACATATCCTCTGAAGTTCAATTTGGAGAAGACAGAAATTTGGTTTATTTTTCACATAAGCTTTTTTTGAGTGCATCCATTCTGACAGTATTTTTTTTTATAACGTGCTAAAAAAAAAATTGTGTGGCACTGACTGAGTTATTGGAGGATATGTTCAGTGACAGACCCCATTCTTATCACTCTCTGTCTCTGCTGATTTAAAGTTCCAGATTAGATATACTAAGAGGCACAGGCTGCTGTGAAAAGGTGGCAACTGCCCTGTAGGAACAGTCCAGAAAGCAGCTTGGGAGGACCATGGGAGCAGGGGAATCCCAATGGATAAAACACAACATGGAGACATGCCCTTGCACCCACTGCTTTTAATGATCTTGGTACTTTAACCCTTTTAGCCTCCATATTAAGGAGGTTTTAGTCTATTTTGTGGGCTGGTCAAGTGTATTGCATAAACCTTCAGTGGAGGTGCCAGACGCTGGACAAGGAGCCAGCAGCTCTGGGATGGGGGTGGCTGCCAAGCACTGCCCTATTCAAGCAGAGCCTGCAAGCTTGGAACAACTCCCCTGTTTCCATGTGCTGTCCCCTCCAAGCTCTTTCGAGGTCCTTGTTACCAGATAGAAAGATGAAGACTTTCAAAATTTGGTCCAAAACAAATGGGACCCCAAGGGCTCATTAACTATGGAAATTCTGCTCAAGGTGAGAATCATATCAACTTGCGTAAGGGATGAGATCCTAAATCCAAACAGCCTAAAAAAAAAAATTAACTTGACTTTAGAGCCACTTCTGTTGTAACATCCTAGGAGGCAGAGAATGGCCCAGGAACTGGTTACAGATTACCTGGGAAGAAAGAGACTTCTTGTAGCTTTCACTGACATGGTTCAATACAGTATTAAAGGATAATTTAACAATAAGATTATTGTTATTATCTCTTATTATTTTAAGATTATTATATTCTTACTACTGTGAGAGGAACTCAGTATCTATCTACACGAGACATCTCTTTCTCTTTCCTTGCTGTGCATTACTTCAGTGGAAGCTGCAGTTTTGCCTTCCAACCTCTGCTCTCGAACACATCATTCACAACCCCACAGGATGAGCTGACAGCCAGGCTGGGACTGGGCACTGGGCAGGGCACAGAACCAGATGTGTTACATGCTGACTACTGCCATGCATTTCCAGCATTGTCCAGACTTCCTACATTCCTGGATCCAGTGGGATTTCATGGCAAGACGAGAGCTTGCAGTGCTAGACTTCTGCCCAAAGAGAATGGGAGCAGGGGGTGATATGGAGTCTGGGGAGAGAAAAGCAACAGTGGATGTTGGAAATGTAAAAAATACCAAAGGCATAATGGGGAAGCACAAGAGAGTGACAAAGAAAAGGAATTCCCACTAAGCATCATGAGACTAGACAGGATTCAGATCCTCAAAAGCCTAACAGTGATATTTCTAGGGACTCATTATAATGATAAAATTTTCAAAAACCCTCCAATGAATGCAGCAATATCAAATCCAATTCCACTTGTATATTTTTTAGGATTTTGAAATATTTCAAATCTGAAAATAGCAATTTCTCACTGGATGTTTAGAAAGCCCACCCTGCCAAGGACCTTGTGTGCAAGGAATGCCTGTACAGAAGCCCTAACACATCGTGTCTCCCTACCCTTCAGTCAGGATTCTGTAAAGGATGCTGGCTCACAGGGCTTCCCCCTGTTCCGTGAAGCTAGGAGCCATGCCCTGGTCCTTGAAGAATCCAAGCTCCTTGCCAAAAAACAGGGATTTGAAAACCTGGTGCCACTCAGGGCTGCTAGGCTCCCTGCCATGAAGCAGAGATCTGAGCAGGGCGCTGAAAGGTGTGGCACAGATTCTGGCAGAGTTGGGAACTCTCAAACCCTCACTTGCTCCAGGCCTCATGGAGACTTGGTAGCCAAAAAGCCCTGAAGCTCTGGCTCGCCCATGAGCTGCACGCTTGGAATCACAACTGCAGCTTGGTTTCTACATTTTCAAAACAAAACTATTCTAATTATTTGAAACTTACACTGCTACTTTTTTCTTTCTCTTCTGCTTTCACAGGAAATTCAGAAAATCAATTTCCATTCTATGTTCAAGTTCACTCCCATTTCTGGGAACTGGTATTTCATGAATACAGAAATCTCAATTTGCAATCAGCTCCACTCATAATGGCTAGTCAGAATACAGGAAAAACCATTACAATTAACATGTAAGAGTAATAAGGACATAATAGAATACATTCAGCAGGGAATTGCCTCCCCGACCCTGCAGCCCAACATCCCAGCAGGCTTCTCAAACAGTTCGTTCACCCCTGAGCAACAAAACAACAGGAGGCCTTTCTCAATGGAAGTGCCAGACAGATTGCAGCAACAGGAGCAATGTTTTTATTGTCTTAGCACACTGGACCTTTACAAATTTTTGAACTCCCTCAGAAGCAGCAATCATGGGAAAGTAACAGAAGTGAAGTGGTTTAGCCTCTGCCACAAACAAGGCAGTGGTAGACCTGGGATTAGATAGCAACAGTAGTTCTTAGTCTTGGTAAACAATAAAGCAAACTCTTTCTAAGCAGCCATTAATGTCTGGTTATTAGGCTGAAGAGTAGCAAGTTTTGATTTTCAAGTAGCAAGCATGAAAATTCCCCTGGAATTCCTCCAGAGTCCTCTAATGAACAATGATCTCAACTTTAATCTTACTTCATAATTATCCATGGGTAACATTTCAACGTGGACTCCTTAAGCACATGTAATTTCTAGAGCAAGTAATATTCAAACTAATTCATTTCTCCTTTGATCCACAAAATGAGAGCATTGAGAAGCAACCAGCAACAAGGGGATGTTGAGGGTACATTGAGACAGAAACTACAAAGGTCAGCGTAATGTGGTTTGATCCCACACTGTCAAGATCAAAGATCTTCAGTCTCTGTTCATTTTTTAAGAAGCTGGCATGTCTTTATGCTGACCTTTGAATTGCTCATGGAGGACTTATATCTGACATATATCTGCATTCTTGAGATGAACTGGCACCAAAAATTTAGAGTTTTTTTCCTAGCAACCTGAATGTGACAACCTTTTTGAGGTAAGCCTCAAGAGACACTTCCATTTTCATCAATAGTATTTTCCACTCACTTGGAGTTACCCTATAGCTTAATAATTCTAGAGTTTTGTTTTAAAACTTCTATTTTAACTTTGTGACGTATAGGGAGGGAAACCCTGAGGGATTCTTGCTTCTGGCAACAAGTACTCAGAACACAGCAGAAGTCTCACTCTGAGGACAGGGAGGCAGTCTGCCTTGGGCACTATGTTCCAAACCAAGACTAGGGTGTTACAACTGTGAACAAAAATCTCTTTTAGATTCAAAGGCAGAGAGCTTGATCATTGTGGATCTTTGGCACAAATACAGACCATGAAAGTGAACTTTCATAATCCTTCTGCGCTGACTTTTAAGGAGATACCTGAGCTGTTGAAAGATGAGAATTCTTCTATGTTCTTTCTAATAGTGACAGAAAAAGGTGGTTGTGATGGGAGAGAAACTTCCTCTCTCCAACAAACTCATGCTCTAAATGTAGCCAAAGGTAGCAGGGAGGGATAAAGCCTGGACAGAGAGGGGGGAGAATCTGCAAGAAATCCAGAAAGAAGAGCCAGGGAACCACTGAAACATTCCACTCTAGGATAAAAAGGAAAAGAGGGCTGGCTGGGAAAACAGGACTAATGTATCTGGTAGAAGCATCAGAGGCTTAAATGCTTGGGGTTGACGATTCCAGACCAGACTTCAACTGGAAGGAAAATGTTTATGACAAGAACAGGGAGAGGCAAGTTCCTACTTTCCCTGATGACCCATTGTTCCCCTCTCTGATAGCTCTTGCCTCAGGTTCCAGATGATGTATTATTTTCTAAGCTATTTTGTCCATTGTTCTGACAGCAGCCAGTTTTGTTCATGCTACTGAAACCTCCCAATGGCCAAAACATCCTATGCTCAGAAATAGTGATAAAATTTTAAACAACTTGTACAACTGGGATTAGAATACAATTTAGGAAGTTCGATGGTAAACATTCTGTGCATTCTGAATACCTGCTCCTCTTCCTTCCCTTACTGTTAATTCAGCTGCCTTTTTGTTGTTCAAATGCAGTGAGCTGGATTGGTAAGGCTTTGAAAGTTCTGAGCCTTCCAAATTACATTCCCAAACTTCCCATCAGCTATGTCCAAAGTCAACATTTCAAATGTATATCACTGCTTACAAGCTTCCATCTTTTCCTGTCCCTTCAGACTTCCCTCACTCAAAATCCCTGTTTGGAATTTCCCAATTTCTGTGTATTCACATGGAAAGAGCATTAGTCTGAATGAAGCTCAGTGTGCTTGTAAAGAGATGGGATTTATCTATGTCTCAATATATCATTTACAATGGTAGTCTCTACTTAATTAATTATGAACTGAATGGTTATGGTTAGCATTAAAAATCATTCTAAACCAGAGCAAATTCAATAGAAGTTCCATTGATTCCTACTACACTATTTGTTCTACTATTTTACTTCCTTAAAAAAACAGACCGGGGAGAAAGTCCACAGCTCCCCTCCATTACAAGGAGGTTAAAGTAAATAATAGGACATTATCTGCTCAGAATATAACACACCCATGATGAGAAGCAGCAGCTTCCAACTACAAGCTTAGCTAACTGATTCATTGCCAGTGTAGCCCTTACGAACTGTACCAACAAAACAGGCAAAATGAGTGACTTGCACCAAGCAGACAAAGGTTTAGGTACTTACTCATGTATTGATTGCTCTGGCAGTTCATAATTAATTTTAAAATTCTAACTGTAGTACCAGATCATAAGAAATAGCATTATTCTTAAGCATAAATATCATTTTGTTCCAAGAGTATCTCGACATAACTCTACACTACAGTCATTTTAAGTGACCTCTTTGTAAAACCCTAGGATTTTATTATTTAAAGTATATCCTCTCAATCACAGCCTCAAAAATAGTCCTGTAATGAAATAACCACAGAGTTATAGACAGATAAGGGTTCACATTGAAAAAAAGAAATCATGAGACTATTATTATACAGGCAATACAGTTTTATTCTGTTCTTTCACCAATTGTAGCAAAAACATTTAACAACTGAATGAATAATCAAGGGAACTTAATTGTCAACAGGAATTTCAGAATTATGTTCTAAATTTTAGACCAGGAAGGCTTGACAGGGAGAAAACAAACCATATACACACTTGTAATAATAGTCTCTATTATGAAGATTTAATGCCTTCTTTAAAAGCACTGAGATTATTGAGGCACCTTACTGCAGGTTATGGATCATCTCTTCTTTGGCAATGAGATGTGTGGTTTTGTTAACTAGGGCCATGAGGGAGTTGAGCTTGTGAGACCAGTCATTGAGTATATTGTTTGGGTCCTTAGGCCTCTGGAAATTGATAATTCCTGCCAGCCTGTCTACTTTAGCAAAGATGGTTTTATTAACTACTAGGTTAGACAAGAACTCCTCCGATTCCTGTAAAGACAAACAGCACTAAGTCAAGAAAATAGAATTTTTACCAACAAACCACCAGAATTCCTCCCAAACAGCATGAAAGCACCAGGAACAAGATTTTGTTTATACACAAATACAGCGGTAACAATATTGTACTTTAAAAAATGCAGGATACTTTAATATTACACATGCTGGCATTGCAAGGTACTAGCACAAGCTGTTAAAAAAAAAAAAAAAAAACCTTTTTGTTTTCAATTGACCTATATCTGATTATCTTTCATAAAATTAAAGTGTAATATACAACTCCAATAGACTCTTACACTTTGGAGTACTTGGCTACACAGATACCAGAAAAAGTCATGTGGTAAGCAAGGCTTGGGAAAACCCCAGTGAATTTCTGACCACTGTGAAAAAGGACTTTTTCTGAGTTTGTGGGAAAAGCAGATTCCATGAAGAGGGTAAAGCTTTTCATTTGCACTCAAAATACCAGGATGTGTCATTCTCCTTGGAAAGCTCTTGAAAACACAAATGGAGGTGACAGGAAGACCCTTCCACCCCATGTTTCCAAAGTGCCACCACCCATGAACAGGGACATTTACAGGTGAAGGACCCTCTCTTCAGTTGGTTTTCATCACTCATTGACAAGAACTTTTTAACACTGAAACACCAGACAAGCTCCAGCATTTACACAAGACCTTGAACATAAATGAACTTCTAAGAGCAGCTTTTGCCTTATGGGCATGTGCATCATGAAACTGAGTTTAAGGTTTAATGAATAGTTTTTTAACTCCCATAAAGGCAGAAAATTAAATCAAACAAGAACATTACTCTGCTGAATATTCACATCTCTGCCACAAACACATCCCCTTATGAAAGGAGGATAAGCAAAGCAAGACTTACATCAACAGAGAGATCCAGGAGTTGTGCCATTCTCTTCATTGTAATTCTGGTATAATACTTAGCCATTATTCTAATATTCTGGAATAAAAGTGTTCAGAGTAGAGGGTTATGTGCAAAAAATAATTGAAGCAGGCTGCAAAAATATAAAAGTCCATGTTAAAAGGAGATTAGGAACTGTAGTGCTCTAATGGCAGTCCAGCTTGTGGGACGTGAGGGGTTGTGAACAAACAGCTCTTTTGCTGGTAGAAGGTATAAAAGTCACTACATGATAAATTATTAAGAAAAGAAATCAACCAATTACAAATTTAATACAAAGCAAGACTTTCAGCTTTATGCTTTATTGAAACATGAATGCTAAATCTCATTTGAGTGCAATATGCTCTTCTTGGTGGCAACTATGCCAAATATAAACATACAATAAAGATATACAAGCAAATAAAATCTTGAAATACAACACAAAAGAAAGGACACCTTACCTGCTGATTTATTAGCTACTTTTTTCTTTTCTTTGTGATTAAAACATGGCAAGCAGAAAGCATTTTTAGCTGAGGCACTGAGTAAACAGCTGATGTTTACAGATACTTACATGTTCCACAACTCTGTTCTTTAAATCTTTCCATCTCTTTTCACCTTCCTCTGTACAGCCAAAAACATCTGTTGCAGGACTGTCAAGGGATCCTTCTCTTAACTCCTTCCCATATTCTTCAACTAGGGCACTCCACCTCATCAGCTCCATGGTGGTAAATAGTTTTAGGAGGTCTCTAAATGATTTAGTATAGTTGAATTACAATCCTGCATTAATAAGGCCTGGTTCATACTTAAAATAGATCAAAGGCAAATTTTTAAATGTTTCATTCTTATTATCATAAATAATGGGGGCAGCTAAAGTCAGATTGTTTTTGCAACAAAGATCTTTCTCTTACAAGAGACATTTATTTTCATATAGAACAATCATGACATTTTTACAGTATGCCTAATGCAGCATATGCTGTAAGCATACTCTGCTTACAGCAGACAGCATAAAGAGATTTATTTGCACTGTTAGGGAGAGACTTTTTAATCAAAGAATTGGTTATTAGAAAGGATACTTACTTATACTTGGGGATTTCTTCTAGCTTTTTGTCACTACTAATTCTGTGCACCAAATCAGACTGTTCATTGTCATAAGGTGAAAGAATAACATAAAGAACAACGCTCTTCAGTGCCTGTTTAAGAGGAAAGAGTGTGGGTCTTTTAATTAAACAGAGGAATTGCCAAAACAGATACAGAGCTTGGAGTTTAATATGTAAAAGATTTAAGCTCAGTGTATTAAGAAATCAAGGTGAAATTTATGTCATCTTTCAGAAATGAACTGTGGTACAGTTAAATTGACACAGGTTAACCAATACTCTAGTATTTAGAATAATTACATGAAGAAA